CTGTTAATGGTGTTCACTGCCTGTTTGATTACATGACATTAACTAACTGCTTGATCTTTACTGTACATTTCTGCCATATGGACATCAACTTGAGAGAGTCACCACTGATAAGCTATTACTAAATATAATGTAGAAACTTTAATTTTTGTGGAAAACATGATACTTTTTTCATTCTGTAAGGAATAAAAATTGTGAAAAAACAACAACAGTGATAATTTAAAAATTACATATAAATTAATTAAAAATTATTTAATATGTCCTTGCTGAAGAAATGCATACATTTTTTGAAAAAAAAAAACATTTAACTAACCATGTAGTGTATATAATAAGTGTACATAATAACGTACAATTTATCATCAGTGAAAAAAAAATACAAACAAAAAATACATCTGAACGAACAAAAGTCAAATAAATTATACAAAAAGACAATGATAAAATTTTTTTTAAATCATAATCTCTGTCTACTAATAAGAAAATGCCAATAAAAGTAATCTCTGTATGTTTTTTTTTTTTTTCCTTTAAAGACTGAGGTGGCTACTGTCTGTTTAACAGAAGATAATCTGCTGCCATTGCTGGCTACAAAGCCCTGTGTGACACTGTACCGTGAAACAATTAAAATGAATTTGGGTTGAGGAAGGAGCACATCTTGAGTCCATGTCAGGCCTGCTTATGCTCTGCATGACCCCCTTTTTCAATTATTCTGCTGGTCTCAAACAGAGCCATTTGGGCTTCCAGATTGGCAGAAGAAATGAATGATCAGCGGGATTCGGCTCAAATGAATCCTCGCCCCACGGAGCATGCAGGAAGATTTCTCTCTGTCTCCCAGACTAAAACCGAACATAGGCGGATCATGTTATTTTTTTTCAATAACGTGCAGCTAAGCACGTTAGGTCAACATGAAAACTGCTAAGCTTGCTGTGTGTGGCTTGCACGCTGAACGAGCTCACGGGGTGCAAATGCTAACAGGAAATGGAAGAGGTTTAAACATTCTGACAGAGCATTTGGATCATCAATAAGGGTGAGATTTTCAAGTAAAGAATTTCTCTCCGGATTTCATGCCCAGAAACCTCCAGCAATTATATTCAAGAAAACTGTGATGCTTGTTA